TGATTAGAGTGTGGCACCAGGGGCCATCAATTTTGAACCTTTTCACAATATTCTAATTTTCTGATATGATGAATTTGAGATTTTCATTTGTTGTCATTTGTAATCATCAAAATTAAACAAAATAAACATCTGAAATATATGAGTTTGTATGTAATGTATGAATATAATATACAAGTTTCACTTTTTAAATGGAATTACTGAAATCAATCTACTTTTTCATGATATTCTAATTTTATGACCAGCACCTGTATATCTATAGATGTAGATATAGATGTACAGTATATGAGTGTTTCATGAATATTTTAAAATACAATCATAAATCCACCAGAGGGCGCCATACCTCATCTTTTCTAATGAAAGTTTCTTTCCAATAAGTTCTGAGTCTGTTTTGGTGCTTACATCTCAGTGGACCAAGCTAAGAAAACCTCCAAAATGAAACATCTACAAGTCATTCTAAGCTGTTTTGACTCCTCAGCACTGGGCTGAGGAGTCAAAACCGACTGGCTGTTGACCTCTCCCAGTTAGCTGACTGCAGTCTGAGAACTCTGGCCTCCAAAACCTTTTGAGTAAAATAACTGAGCAGTGTTTGAAAATGAAAGGGCTCTAACCCTTCCTTTCTGGACTCATTCACCTCTTTAAAACTTGGGACAGACTCTGGAGAAACCCTGATCTGAGTCACTGACAGCAGGGCATCAGTCTGGGCTTGAGAAGATAAGCACAAGCTGCAGAAACATGTCGGACATGAGAAACACGCACTTTTACCCTCGACTCGGTCTCTCTCCTGCTTTGGATGTGAGGAGCTGGAACTCATAATCTCTCCATTAATCTCGATGAAGGGATGAACTTCATGCTTCAAGGGGGACTGAGATGTTTATCAGGTGTTCTTTCCTTTATAACTAAGTACCTATGAGGGTGAAGGTGCAGAGTGGGTGGGTGGGGCAATTAACAGAGGGGAGATTTTTGACATCATTTACAGGAAAGCTGAAGGGGGGGACTTATTTTCTTGCCTCCTCCACATAGATGGATTTGATAAGATGTTTCTCTTATAGATATTTATGATCATACAACTTCAAACATCTTTTTAGAAGATATTTCTAATTGGCTAATTAGCCAAACACAGCATTGTGCTAAATTAATTTAAGATTTTTTGATGACAACTGAAAAAGATGGTAAAAGGGTGAACACCAGACTATCAGGTGGATGATGGCTGACTGACTGGTGGCAGGCTTTGAACAGGTGGATGATGGCTGACTGACTGGTGGCAGGCTTTGAGCAGGTGGATGATGGCTGACTAACGGGTGGCAGGCTTTGAACAGGTGGATGATGGGTGACTGACTGGTGGCAGGCTTTGAACAGGTGGATGATGGCTGACTGACTGGTGGCAGGCTTTGAGCAGGTGGATGATGGCTGACTAACGGGTGGCAGGCTTTGAGCAGGTGGATGATGGCTGACTGACTGGTGACAGGCTTTGAGCAGGTGGATGATGGCTGACTGACTGGTGGCAGGCTTTGAGCAGGTGGATGATGGCTGACTGACTGGTGGCAGGCTTTGAGCAGGTGGATGATGGCTGACTGACTGGTGGCAGGCTTTGAGCAGGTGGATGATGGCTGACTAACGGGTGGCAGGCTTTGAGCAGGTGGATGATGGCTGACTGACTGGTGGCAGGCTTTGAACAGGTGGATGATGGCTGACTGACTGGTGGCAGGCTTTGAACAGGTGGATGATGGCTGACTGACTGGTGACAGGCTTTGAGCAGGTGGATGATGGCTGACTGACTGGTGGCAGGCTTTGAACAGGTGGATGATGGCTGACTGACTGGTGGCAGGCTTTGAGCGGGTGGATGATGGCTGACTAACGGGTGGCAGGCTTTGAACAGGTGGATGATGGCTGACTGACTGGTGGCAGGCTTTGAACAGGTGGATGATGGCTGACTGACTGGTGGCAGGCTTTAAACAGGTGGATGATGGCTGACTGACTGGTGGCAGGCTTTGAACAGGTGGATGATGGCCTACTGACTGGTGGCAGGCTTTGAGTAGGTGGAGGATGGCTGACTGACTGGTGACAGGCCTTGAACAGGTGGATGATGGCTGACTGACTGGTGGCAGGCTTTGAACAGGTGGATGATGGCTGACAGACTGGTGGCAGGCTTTGAGCAGGTGGATGATGGCTGACTGACTGGTGGCAGGCTTTGAACAGGTGGACGATGGCTGACTGACTGGTGACAGGCTTTGAACAGGTGGATGATGGCTGACTGACTGGTGGCAGGCTTTGAGCAGGTGGACGATGGCTGACTGACTGGTGGCAGGCTTTGAGCAGGTGGACGATGGCTGACTGACTGGTGGCAGGCTTTGAGCAGGTGCACGATGGCTGACTGACTGGTTGCAGGCTTTGAACAGGTGGATGATGGCTGACTGACTGGTGGCAGGCTTTGAGCAGGTGGATGATGGCTGACTGACTGGTGGCACCATGTCTTGCCCTTAAATCTCTTCCATAGCTCTATGGTATCGTTCAGTTTTTTTGCATTAAGCTCTGCTCTGAACCCCTCTAATGACCTTTGAAGGAAGAATCTCTGTCTCCACTGGAAAAGATCTGACATCATTATGTCTTCAGAATAAACAATGACCCTGAGAATATGGACATATTACTTATTGTTTAATGATAGAAACTCCCAGAGACCTGATTTCATTCTAGAGAAAAGGTATAGGCCGAGCTTAAAAGGTGTAATTAAGGAAGTCCAGTTCTAGCAGGAATGGGTCCAAATCCAAGCAAACTGTTGTGAGAAGGAAACCCCGAACCTCTGAAATTCACAGATGACACCACAGTTACTGGCCGAATTCAGAAAGATGTTTTGCTGGTGCGTTCGGAACCACCTGGAGCTTTACCTTCTCAGGACAGCGGAGAAGAGCGTGAACTTCCCCCCCTCTGCCTCCCCGCCACTTTATCCGCTATGGATCACTTCCGATTCCTAGAAACCAGACCTGAGCTGGTCCTCATATATCGACATGGTCCAGCCGTCAACATGGCCTGCTGGCAACATACTTGCTGCCCTGTCTTCATCCATCACGGTGTGGTTCTGCTCATCCAATAGAGAGGCACCGTCCAAACTGCAACAAATACTCAGGTCTGCAGAGAAGACCAGAGCGGACCTTCCCTCCATCCAGGACAGATCCAGGGCTTAGGAATCAACCAGCTTACATCTCTGCAGACCCCACACATCCTGGATAATAACTGTTCACATTTACCTTCAGGGTTACCTTTACGCTACAGAGTGTCACTGCCTAAAACCAGCCATGTTGGTGGTTTCCTCCAACAGGCTGCGTCTCTGATGGACACAGCAAACACCTCGAAGCTTGAGTCTCGGACACGAATATAATTCAATTCAATTCAGTTTATTTCTATAGCGCCAATTCACATCATGTCATCTCAGGTCACTTTCCAGTTCACCAGATCATCCAGTCAGATTGATTCAAAGTTTTCTAAGGAAAACAAGCTGATTGCATCGACTCATTGACTCTTCAGCAATCCCTCACACTAAGCATGCTTGTAGCGACAGTGGAGAAGAAAAGCTCCCTTCGAACAGGAAGAAACCTCCAGCAGAACCAGGCTCAGTGTGAGCGGCCATCTGCCGAGGCCGACTGGGGTTCAAGGAGACAGAAGCAGACATAGAAAAAGAAGCATAGATACAAAAGGCAACTGTCAACCAGCTCCACAGGCGGCCCCGTCCAGGAAACACACAACCAGGCAGACGAGCTCCGAGCCAGCTCCCATGTCAGAGGATGAAGAGAGCACATCCAGTTAGTCACAGTCAGAGAAACAGGACTACACTGGAAAACAGGCCAATCTCCAACATCTAGAAACAAAGGTGTTAATGGCAGCAGCACAGCTGATATTTCTCTCCAGGATGGAGTCACAGCCAAACAGGAACAGACCAGATGAAGCTACTATGAGAAAAAGCAGAGAGAGCAGAACGTTAGAGATAGATATAAGATATATAAAAATATTGGCACCATCCGAACCTTTCTCAAAAAAAAGTTATAATTATTATATTAATCAAACAGGATAGACCCAATTCATAAAGTTTAAAGGTCATTCCTCTAAACTCTTAACAAAGTTTAGATGTCAAACAGAAATAACCTCAGTTTGAACTAAAACAGGAACTTTTCAGACGTCAATAAGTCGGGCTGAATGGTTACGTTTCATTTTTTTCCTTTCAGAAGTAGTTCTTGTAACCGATGAACTCGAACAAGAAGTGCTTTGACCCAACCCGACTCGGCGTTTCTCTGCACTCGGTCGTCCTCTCTGCACCATCTGTGGCATCAGAACCCTCCCAGCTCATTTCTGCTCTGAATCACACACTTCTGGGTTATAGAAAGCTCAGTGGGAGGTTCCATTCTCTGGTTTTCTGTTTTATTAGGTTCTTTATTCACATCTGTCATTCTGAGCATCCAGATTCAGTTTTCACTTATTATTATCTCTCATCTATCAATAACCTAAAGAATGAGGGCAACCCAACATATGACACTTCCTGTTCTGTCAGAAAAAGCACCAACTCTCAGTGCTTAATCTAAGTATCTCCACCAACATGTCCTTTGGTCGATGTCTGTTCTTTTAAAATAAGTAGTTATTTTTTTTCAAGTAAAGACAATGTATAGAAGTTTTAAAACAAGAAAAAAACACCCAGAAGACATGAGGAGATAACTGTGACAGGAAGAGAACCGGAGGAGGATGCAGAAGTTCAGAGCTTTTAAAGATAGTCTCCAGCTCTTTATACCCCGGCTGAGTGACAGCATGACGTGTTGCAGCTTGCCGACCACAGCCACAGGTTGAGTAAGTCGAAAAGTTTACCACAGATGACGCCACGCCTATAGGTCTGCCTGCACTACCGGGACCCAGAAGTCGACCTCACTTCTCTTTCTGCTTCCTTAGACGCCCTCTGTATCCTCTCCCTGTGTGTCCCTTTATTTTTATTCTTTTGTTTCTGGTGTGTTTGTCGAGTTCAGGCGGGGATGGCGGAGCTGGAGGGGCTGGAGTTTGGAAAGTCGGACTTTGTGCTGCTGGATGAGGTGACGATGGAGCAGTTCATGGAGAACCTGAAGCTGAGGTGAGGACTGAGTTTGGGGAGTCAAAGCAGCTGGAAGGTGGAAATGTTAAAGTTGATGTTCCAGATGTCTGAAAAATAAGAAAATATGATTTACTTTAGGGATCTAGATGAAAATGAGGCATATTTTATCATAACTAGAGGCTAGAGAGATAGAAAACTGAGCGGACAGATGCTTGAGGTGTTTGCTGGGTGGAGTAGATGACAGATTCGGAGTGACGTCTTGCCTCCTCTTTCCCGCTCAGCCTCTGATAAAAACCCTTGATGTGAAGCATGAAGCTACAGGAGCAGTTAGCAGCTGAGTGCGCCTCCTTTCAGATGGTTCTGAGCTGCTCTGAGCTCGGCTCAGACCTACTGTAGACGTCACAGAAAGGTTCAAATGATGGATGATCTGCCTCTCAGCTGCAGCCTCTGAATTGATATTTTTATCGTGGGTTTCCTGTCTGGCCTTTGTTCATATCGGTTTAATATCACCACGTCTGCAGCTCTGTTTGTGTGATAAACTGTTCTGGTTGAATGAAATCCCCTGGAAACATCTATTCAGTTGATTCAATTTAAGTATTTTCTTATTTTGGTAGTTTTAATTCAGATTTTTGCCTGATTAAAAATTATTTGTTGATTTCCCCCGTCCAGCCTAGCCTCGTGAGACCATCCCGATCTCGCGAGCTTTGAAGGTTCTACTCGCTAATCAGTCTGGAGACTCTCCGTTAAAGAAAATTTGGAGCCGTTCACCAAACGAACGTCCAATCAGCGTTGGCTTTGAGGCGGGTTGAGGTGTGACGCAACGAGAAGCGCCACAGTTCAGTCTAAAGAACATGGCGGCTTCAGCCGATGAAACTAGCGTTAGCGTGGCTATCGAGCAAGTTTTATCGGAATTACAGAGTATTTCTTCACTGAAAGAAGAGCAAAAAACTGCTCTGGAAGCTTTATCAGAGGAAAAGATGTTTTTGCTCTTCTCCCGACTGGTTTCGGCAAGAGTTTGATCTATCAATTGGCTCCTCTTCGTCGTCGCTCTGTTAGTACGTCATATGCTTCGTTGATCTGATTGGTTTATTTGGCCCGTCTATCACCAACATAGGCCAATCAGTTAACCGGTATTTTCGCCCCTTCCCAAAATTACTTCAACGGAAGGTTTCCAGATGGATATGCGGAGCAAATCCATCTGGCGGAGTCAGGTTACGTCCAGCCTGAATTTACCCCAATTCTCCTCTGATGGAGACTGGCTTCAGAACAGCTTTTTTAACTCCCAAAGCAACAAATAAAGACAGGAATGTGTAGCCTAGAAACAATTAAAAAGAAATATGTTTATTCTCACTAGCTGTTACAGCTTTAAAGGGCACTCAGGAAAATACTTTGAAAACCAACATTTCCAGCCTAAAGTGTTATTGGAACCCAGGACAAGACCTTATGACCTCTGTAACATTAAAAAAACATGGATATTTTGATGGCAAAAATCTATGTCAATTTAATGACAAGAAATGCCAACTTGCCCGAATATGTTAAGAAAAAAAAACAAAAGTGTTTCTATAAGAAATTAATTTTTTGTTCCAACATAACCTTAGAGGCATTAATGCTGATACTGGCACTTACAGTTTTTAGTTTATAAACCTAAATAGAATTGTCAACTAGGCTTTACTTTTTAACTTTTCAATTAGCTTTTTACTTTTTTTTCCCCCTTCAAATTAACCCTTTAGCCTGATCCAAGAATAAAAGCCTGATCCAAGAATAAAACAAAACAGAAAATTACTTTTTTTTGGTTTGAAGTCCTTATTTGGCCTTTTAACAAAATATGTAAAAAGAAAAAAAAGAAATAAATTTTTTATACTAATAATTTATTACTATGCGATAAGTCAAGATTATTTTTTGTGTAGACTTCTACTGGCTGTTATCAGGTATATCTGATAACAATTATGCAAAAGGTGTCAGATGCAAAACATTTCAGAAACCGTATGTATCAAATACGATACATTTGGTATTACAGGGTTAATTTCCAGTAGGTAATATATCATTTAAGGGCTCATCTAATTGGTCAAATGGCAAAATCAGATGTACAGCCATGTAGCAGGATCTTTACTGAATGTCTGGATATAGATCTCGTGCTTCTAGACCTCATTGAGGGACTGGGGGGGGGGTTCCATTTGTAAGGGGGATGCAGGTGATCGAAAACTGTAACTATAAAAGGATTAATTTGCTTTATTTTGGTGGGAATATTAATTTAAGACCCAATAATTCTGTTCTTCCGGAAAGTGCTGGTCAAGATGAGCTGCAGAGATTTCCAGGAAACATGTGAACAAAATTGTTCTCCCACTGGTTTAATAAAAGAAATACGTACAATGGTAAGAGAAATAACTTAAATCTCATAAAAAGGAACCTAAAATACTTATAGAAAAAAGAATAACGAAAGTTAGAAATTTCTTTTCAATCATGCTTCTACTGAATTATTTAAAAAAAATTCAACTCATGAAACAGACCTGGAGCTAAATTGTTGCTGCCCTAGAAAACCCTGAAAGTAATGCGACAAAAGAAACACGTTGAATCAAGGTGTGTCCACTAATTAGCATCATAGGTATCGACAATCATGTAATCAGTCAGTGGGACCATATATGGTGTATACCACACTCTACATGGACCAGCAGAAGAGTAGGGGGATGGTTTGGAGATTAGAACTAAAATTATATACCAGCATGTTTAAGCTAAAGTCTATCAGATCATCTCCAAGAAGTTCCTCTGACCACAGCTGCACAGATTATTCCGACATTTAGGATCCATGGACTGTCGCCAACCTCGCTGGACGCGGCTGCAGGAGCAAAACCGATGACAAATCTAAGAGACGAGTTTTGGCCATTTATGCGAAATTTATGTTATTTGTAATTTCTATCAATTTAGTGGGGGCTGCTCAGTGGAGCAGTGGGTAGCACTGCTGCCTTGCAGCAAGTAGGTTCTGGGTTTGATTCTGCATGGAGATTGCATGTTCTCCCTGAGCATGGGTGGATTCTCTCCAGGTAATCCGTCTCCCACAGTCCAAAAACATGACTGTTAGGTTCATTGGCTTCTCTAAATCCTCATTAGGTGTGAGTGTGAATGGTTGTTTTTCTCTGTGTTGCCCTGCGATGGACAGGAGACCTGTCCAGGGTGAACCCCGCCTCTCGCCCGTAGACAGCTGGAGATAGACACCATCACCCCTCGTGACCCCACTCGGGACAAACATGTCAGATAATTGATGGAATGGATAATGGATATAAATGTAGTTATCTTCTTTTGGTAGGTAGAATATATTCAAGTTTATTTAGAACCAAAATTTTTAATTTATTCTTTTATATTTGGAATTGTTTAGATTATGTTGTTAATTGTTAGACCCTCCCATTAATTAGAGTCATCAAGAACACACCGTTTGCTGGTGGATTGTTTGGTAAATGTCTGGTGTGGACGGAAGATTTCGTAAAAATTATTTTATGACCACTTTTTTAGAGCTTCAAACATTAAATAACATTATTTTTCTTTTCGCATAGTTGCAAGACATCCTTAGTTATTATTTTTTCTTTGCTTTTACATAAATAAGTAAAGTCGAAAGTGCATACACCTGTTACCACCCACGGGCTTTGTTGGAAATGTTGGTATTTTTTGGAACAGAAGGCTGTGAAAAGATGGTATTAAAGAACGCACCAGCAAAGAAATTCAAGCTGAAGGCACATCAGTGTCAGATCTTAGCATCCGTCACCATTTGAGCTAAAGTGGACTTAATGGGAGACGACCAAGGAGGAACCATTAATGCAAACAAATTCTTAAAAAACAGACTAGAATTGACCAAACTACATGCTGACAAGAAACTAAGCTCCTGGTAGAAAGTCCTCTGGACGGATGAGACAAACATGGAGCTTTTAGCCAAGAAACATCATCTCTAGGTTCACAGACCAATAAAAAAAAAAATGTCTCTACTGTGAAACATGGAGGAGGCTCTGTTATGCTCTGGGCTGCTTTGCTTCATCTGAATCGCTGCAGCATCCAATGAAATCTCCAGACTATCAGGGGTTGTAGAGAGAAATGTGCTGCAGTGTCAGAAAGCTTGGCCTCAGCAGTTCATCGGTCTTCAACAGGATAAGGAGCCCTCCATTTTAAACAGGGGGGCCAATAATTGCGGAGGGCGCTGTATCCCGCCAGGTCAGCCAGGCCAACAATGACCCTAAATGACGGCCTTTTCAGAGGAATGGGCCAGTATCGGGTATTGTAGGCGAATAACGACCTCAATGACTCCCAATATTACAGGGTGGATCTGGTTTTAGAGTTTCAATGTGCACCTTTTCTAAGCCATTACAAGGCTTTTGTTGGTCTACTGTATAGAACCTGGAACTCAACGCCAATCCAGACGTTTTGAATTGAAAAACCTTCCTGGATGGGAAGTGAAACGTCTTCAAACTTGGAAAACAAAGTCCAGTGGATTGTTTTTTTAAATCTAACTTTTTGGATCGACTCTAAAGATTTGGAAAACTAAATGTTAAGTAAAGAGAACTAGGCCTGTTAGATCAGTCAATTTTTAAATCACTCTGTTTGAAGCCTGTTGTTTTGCCACCCAGTCAAACAATTGGTCTTCTTCTATCTGCTTTTCCCTTTAGGAGGTGGTAGCAGCATTTCTTGTGCATCTTCTTCCTGCACACATTTATTTATTTATTGTTTATTTGAAAGGAGACAGTGTACATTAATCAACATTAAAACAATGTAAATATACCCGAGTTAGCTAAGGAGTGCTAATTTTCATCGGTAGTCCCCCAGCCAGGTATAAAAAAGGCAACCTTAAAAATAAACACAAGTATTAAATCACAAGATAAGATTACAATACCAATTACATACAAAAACATTATGGTTTAAAAAATAGAATTCATGTAAAATAATTATAAATTATTTTAATACACACAGAAAACCTTAGTGCCCACAAATTTGTCTCTCTACAAGCCATTTTTTTGCATTCTTTTTGAATGAAAAGAATGACAAAGAGTCTCTGGTGGTTT